GGAAGAAGAAGATAGGAAGGAGACATTTATAGATACTGCACTTTTTCAAATATTGGGAAAGACCTGTGACTTGGGCATTGCTAACCCTATTTTATGGATGAGGGGGTAAAGTTCAAGGGCAAGTTGCCCAGAGTCCATCCAGCTCTCAGACAGCAGAATCGGAATTTGAACCCAAACAAATACCCTCACTTCAAACTCAGGTCTATTCCTTCTTCCACTAGTTGTCTCCAGAGCTCTCAGCTCAGCCTGTCCCCAGTGTCCCCACAGCTGGCACCCACATGCTGAGATCATCTGTGTGTGGTCTTTACACCCTCTGGAATTGGCATTCTGCTTCCAGTGTCCCTTCCATTGCTCCTTGGAAACAGCAAGTACTGTTTTTAGCAAAAGATCTGTCAAAGGCATCATGTGTCTGGGCTGACAGCAGAGAGAACTTCTGTTGGCTTCCATCTGGGAACCAAGCAGTTACAGATGGGAAGACTTGCTGCAACCTTGAAGATTAAAATAAGAAGACTTTTGCTTGCAAGGTTAATGATTAAAAAGAAAGAGAGAAAGCCAGGGCTGCCAGGCAGTGCCATACGTCATGGCCATTTAAGAGGTGGGCTGAGCTGGGTTAATGGGCTCTGCACCTGCTCCCACCTTACTGCCCCCCCCCACTCCTTCCCCTCCATGTCCATGAGACACAGGGGCTTCCATTTATAAATTGCCTCATCACATTATTAAAGCTGCATATTTGGAGGAAAACACTACTTAGCTGCATGATAGCAAGCCATCCCTTTCCCCAGAAGACCTGGGTGGAATATAAACATTGTTTAGACATAATATAAAATTTCAAAGTGTGTTTAATGGTTTAAACATTTCACAGTTGCAAAATCTGAGATGGAGCAAATTTAGATGATGGATACGGCGTCACTCCACTAGCGGGTGAGTGACATTTCAGCTTGTTTCAGCACAAAAAGCCCTGAACTTCTGATCAAACGCTTGAACTTCCATGGTAGCTTGGACAACAGTTATCAGCATTATGACTGGCGAGCAAAGTATTCTCTCTGGATCTCAGTTTTTAAATCTATAAAGAGGGCATAATGTGACCAGCCTCCTTTAGCTGGCAGAGTTATTTAAATGATAAACAAATGCAGACTTCTGGTTTCCAGTTAGGTATGGGAGCAGCTTGGAAACTGTCTCTCATGTTCACACAAAGAAAGATGAGCAAATTGAAAATCAGCTCTTAGATCCATCAGAGACCTGAGGTCATAGGGCAGACTGTCGCCCCCAAGTTGAAAAGACGGCCAGGTGGCTACCTAGAGTTACAGCTTACTGGAGTAGAATGTCCACAGCAGAAACTTCACAGAACCCCATACTGGTACTAGGTGGGGTAGGAAACTTAATCTGTAATTGAGGAAGTTTTAGAGGCTCGGTGTGGACAAGTCTGAGCCGTAAAATCCCCAGGGCAGCCCTGGTCTTAGAAAAGGCTCTCCCACTTTTGGGAATTTTACCTCCAGGAGCCCTGTCAGGGTCTCATAGTGAATATTGGAGGAAAACCCCCTGAAGCTTCAGGCAGGGGAAAGGGATAAGTAACCATGTTGAAAGACAACAGGGCATTTGTTCTTCTTAACAAGGCCTGCCTCAAGGGAAACTAGTGAAGCAGAGCCTGACCTGCTGGGGAGTTTGCTAGACCCTGACTGATCTGGAGGAATGGAAGCACCAACTCCAGCACCCTCTAAACTTTCTGTGCCTCCTAAGAGGGGGAATCAAAATACCACAAAACTGAGAAACATGGTGAAGGTCACAGCCTAAGGACACAGGCTCACTAAAGGACTGGGACCCAATCTTAGATCTATAGATGCTTCCTTTTTTTAAAGATTTTATTGATTTATCTGACAGAGAGAGGGCATGAGCGGGGGGGAGGGGCAGAGGGAGAAATAGGCTGCCCACTGAGCAGGGATCCCAATGTGGGACTCAATCCCAGGACCCTGAGATCATGGCCTGAGCCTAAGGCAGACGCTTAACTAACTGAGCCACCCAGGCACCCCTAGAATGCTTTCCTACTCCTCACACCTCATCACCACATCAGGAGGGCTCTTGCAGAATATCAGGGGAAGGAGACCATGCATGTGGGGATAAATTGGGATTATGAAGTGCATATAGGGGCGCCTAGGTGGCTCAGTTGGTTTAGAGGCTGCCTTCAGCTCAGGTCATGATCTCAGGCTCCTGGGATTGAGCCCCATTTCGGGCTCCCTGCTCAGCGGAGAGTCTGCTTCTCCCTCTCCTCTGTGCTCTCTCTCCCCCTCTCTCTCGCTCTTTCAAATAAATAAATAAATAAAATCTTTTTAAAAAAAGTGCATATAAATAAAAATATCAAAGTTTTTCATTCAACATTGTATTAGGATTCTACATAGAAAGAGAACCATGTATATATATGAGTGTGTAATAAACATGAGTTTATTTATGTATTATAAATATATAAAAATATACATATATACATAAATTACAAGGATATATGAGGAATCGGCTCATAGCATTATGGAGGGTGAGAAGTCCAAAATCTATGGAACCTATGTTCCAGTTCAAGTCCAAAGGCCAGAGGCTGCTGTAGAACCAGAAAGAACTGATGTCCCAGTTGAAAGGCCATTAGAAAGAACTGATGTCCCAGTTCAAAGGCCATTAGAAGCTTTCCCTCTTGTTTGGGTCAGACTTTTGTTCTGTTCAGGACTTCAACTAATTGGATAAGACCAACCCACATTAGGGAGGACTCAGTCTACTGACTTAAATAAAAACACCCTCAGAGAAACACTCAGAATTATGTTTGACCAAATGTCCCGGAACAGAATGTTGCCTGAATTAACCCAAAGGTCACAATGCACCTTGCACAAAGAATCTATTCCTTATTCTATTTTCTATCTCAAAATATGCTCAGCACGTTGAATATTGTAAATGACCCATAGGTGTGGAGTGAGCCCAATGATGGCAAAATATTCCAAATTATGCAAGGCCAGCAACATCAAATACAACCTATTTGAGCAACACAAACTTCTCACCATTATTACTTTTGTATGGAAGATTAAAATCTCAAAATTAAATTTCCTCCCACTTAAAAGTTGAAGTGTAATGAAACTAAAAGGCCACAATTATTCCCTTCTCGATCTCGTATTTGCTTTTGTGTCTAAGCTGGATGGGGGTGATTATCGTGCCTGTCTCACAGGGGCAGTTCTGGGGAATAAACATCAGCTGACTTTGTGCAATGTTCAGCTTGGCGCCTCTCGAGAGCCTGCCTAGTGAATGGCTGGGACCATGATAGCTGTACCTTCAGGAAACAAGTGAGGCTTGAATCCAGGTGGTCTAGCAACAAGTAGGGATCTAGTTCAAGGATAGGACTCTGGATCCCAGGGAAGGAATTCCGGGTACCCAGTGGCGAGGGCTAGTTGGCATGATTTCCCATATAGGAACAGAGACCAAGATGGCGTGACTTTGGTCCAGGTGCTAGGACTAGGCTTGATGGTCACAAAGGGGTGTGTGTGTGTATGGAGTACTCAATTCTGTCTCTAGCAGTGCGATTGGTGGGGGAATCAGGGTGGACCTGAAAATACAGGTGGGTAGGTGGTGAGCCTTGAGAAAAAGGAAGCCAGCTGGAACCAGGAGTCAGTCAAGTCCTGGAAGGATCTTACTCTTGTCTTCCCACTGAAGAATGAGCTGTTTGTTTCAGACAGCAAGGTGGCAAAGCTTAGCTGTGAATTTCAGGCTTCAGGGTGACTACATGGTTTAACCTTCCACAAACAACCCAAAGCAATGTTGCAGCTCAGTGTACATCCCCTTCAAGACCAAAGAATCTCTGCATCAGAGAGGGAGGGGCCCACAAGCCTCTTACAAGTTGCAATTGTAAAAGCAAATACATCAGCAACAGAAGATGGTGCTCCAGGGAACACCTCAGTCCCTGAAGCTGGTTTGGCTGAGTTCTGCAAGCGTTCACATTTCAATAGGATCTGGGCTTTCCCTGGGCAAAGCGGGAATAGGGGCCAAGAAGGACTTTGGTGCCTCCAGACTTTCTTTGCCTTTTTAGATAATGCCTGCTCCTTCTCATCTCATGCTTATAACAGGCTCAACACCTGGGTGCCTTTCTCCTCACACCAAGTGTTGGTTAGTTCATTGGCTTCTTTGTTTACTTACTAATTTACTCCAATACATATACCGCCTTCTCCGTGGAAACTTCCTTCTTTAAGCCATCCAGTAGAAAATAACATCTCTCATTTTTGAGCCTGGAATGATATATTTACCCCTCATTTTAATACCCAATCACAGGGGCGCCTGGGTAGCTCAGTCGTTAAACGTCTGCCTTCAGCTCAAGTCATGATCCTGGGGTCCTGGGATCGAGCCCCGCATCGGGCTCCCTGCTTGGCGGGAAGTCTGCTTCTCCCTCCCCCACTCCTCCTGCTTGTGTTCCCTCTCTTGCTGTGTCTCTCTCCATCAAATAAATCTTTAAAAAAAAATACCCAATCACAGACCTGGACAGGGACATCTCAGGGAGGAAGTTCCATGCATATCCACCTGCCTCCCCACCAAGCCCGCACAAAGCCGTGTGTTAAATAAGCTGCTAAGACCACCAGTGGGGTCCTGTATCATCACCCTGGAAAAATGTGGGGGATTCGGTTTGTGCAACAGGTAGGCATGCTTGTGGACAGCCAGGCAGTGAGGTGCATCCACCTGCAGGTGAGGCTCTGAGTCATTCTAGAATAAAGTAAGTCCTCAATACCTCCCTCCCCAGTTGTCTCACCCTCTGTGTGAAGGGGAGAACCAGGAGGAGGCTAGCATGAGAATTATCCATTGCGTGCGTGCGCCTGACGTGGTGGGTACTCCACTGACGTTTGTGTCATGGGTGAGTGGATGGGTCTCTACTCTTCAAATTCCCAGAGTGCGTACACTTCCCTGGATGTCCCAGGAGCCAATATTAAGTCGGCAAACCTGAGTTATCTTCCCAGGCAGATCCAAGCAACTCTTTTCCTTCTTTCCAGGGTCTCCTTCAAAGCATGCCCATCACAGTCCTTTTTGGAGGGAAGGAAGAGCAAAGGGAAGAAAAAAGAAGGCAAGCAATACTAGAAGGCAACCCAGAGAGTGAGACGAGCCTGTCCCTATGGGGGGCTTTCATGTATTGCATTCCTGTCTTGTTTCAAGCCCTCTGCTGACTTGCCAGCTATTGGTTGTGAACATGGGCAACCTCTTCCCTTGCCATGCCTCCCTGGACTCTGTTACCCCATCTGAATAAATGCACAGAACAACGCCTACCTACTCTTGTGATCATTACCCTAGAGAAGGTTAATAAACTACTTAGAATTGTATTTGTTTCGTGAATGGTAGGCACTCTGCTGCTGCTGATCTGATGGCAAAGAAATCTGAGACAGTCTGTGGCTCCCATCTCCTCTTTCCCCCGCCGGCAACACACACTGTTTACGTGTCTCCTTCTCCTCTCCCTCCTGCCTTGAAATGTCGGTTAAGTGCTAAGTCCCTTGACACATTTGAAAAAATGTGCCTTTTCTTCCGTTCATCCTCACTTAGTCCAGGCCTTACCCCTTCTCCAAGTCTTCCCTGAAACTCTTCTACCACACTGTCACATTCGTGCACTCCTTTTTCCATGGGAGTGGTTTTGAAACTGTCTTCTAAGGAGCCTGGATGTTACAGGGACATCTCATGGGTCACAGTGTCCTGACTGAGTCTAATTGTGGTAGTGGAATTCCTGTAGGATCTCCTTGTGGGGGAATGGAGAAGGAAAGATATTTTTTAAAGATTTATGTAAACACCTTGACATTTTATTCATTCATTCATTCATTCTTTAAATAGTGAGATTTATTTAGTCAGCTATCATTTTCCACTTGCCATATTGGCTGAGACCGAAGTTGGTGTTTCTGAGGAGGAAAACACGGATGGCTGGGACTGGGTGAGGAGAATTCTCACTGTGCGCCCCTTTGCACCTTTTAAATTTGTGTGCCATCTGCAAATGTTATCTAGTCAAAAAAATTCATAAAATTGAAACTTAAAAGTGTAGGTGGGTTGGGGTATGGGGAGACAGACCCTTTTGCTCTGATGAGAAGGAACGCCAACAGGAACATATGCATGTTGGACAACTGTGATTTGGGAACCGGCTGGGGAGAGTGAGCAAGAGAGACTTTGGGGCATGCAGAACACCTTTCACATCACCTCAGAGCTGTGGTGTTTCTCCTCTTCTGGGGGGAGGTCATGAGAATGAAGTTGGTTTAAGAGGAACCTAAGCTAAGCCACCTGGCATTGAAAACCGTGAGACTGAACGGGACCACCCATGGATAGTGAAGACCGGGTGCAGATAGAAACACTGAGCCTCGGGACCCTCCAGCAGTTAGAGGTGAAGGAGAGCCTAGCCTAGAGAACAAGCAAGAAGATGCAGTGTTCTGGAAGCCCAGAGAAAAAAAGCATTACACGAAGAAGGAGTGATCGGCCGCTGATACTCCTGGAGCAGTCAACTCTAAGGTATCTTTTTCTTTTTTTTATGATTTTATTTATTTATTTGACAGAGAGAGACACAGCAAGCGAGAGAGAACACAAGCAGGGGGAGTGGGGGAGGGAGAAGCAGGCTTCCCGCTGAGCAGGGAGCCCGTTGTGGGGCTCGATCCCAGAATCCCGGGATCATGACCTGAGCCGAAGTCAGATGCTTAACGACTGAGCCACCCAGGCGCCCCTCTAAGGTATCTTTTTAAAAATGCAGCCCTAATGAATTTGGAGGCACCGTATGGTTTGATCCCGGTTTCCAATCAGAAGCTGCCTGCCTGAAGAGCCAACGTCTTCAAGAAACAATTCTACTATTCCTTCCCGTCTCTCAATGATCACAGAAGGGCCGTTCTATTACACTTGTGGTGAAACTTCTCGAAAGGCCATTTTCCACTCCTTGCACTTGACTCTCCAGCTGCTCACATGTCCGCCCTGCTGTGTCACCAGCCCCAGCTTCAGAAACCCAGACTGGAAAGTCTGGTCTGACCCCCCACCGCTCCTCCCCTCCTTCCACTTTCCCTCATGCACTTCCTGGGCAAAGATTTGGCTTCTCTACTTTCGTGCCTGCCCACCTGTCACTTCCTTCTTTGAGCTTCTCTTTATCTGCTCAGTCTCTGCGTCGTTATCACAAGAGGTCCTGGGGCCAGGAAGGTGAAGACGGGGATCCCCGCAGGAGTCGGAGGAAGGGGAGAAGTCAAGGATCAAAGGCAGCATTTGTTCAGTAGGTACAAGGAGGGAGAAAAACCAAATTCGCATCGGTTTATAAATCCTGTCCCTGTCAAATATGTATGAGTTCCAAAAAGAATTTTCTCTGAGAATGAGTAGTAATTCTAAAAATAAGGTGATAAAAGTTAATCAGTTTTTGGATTCACACTTTTTGAAAAACAAGTTCACAAAAGACACATGACAGTTTTAAAGCCCATTATGATTCAGAACCTTACTTGGAGAATATTAATGAATCATCTACTTATCAATTTCTTTTCAGACACTTAATTCAGTTCTTATAATTTAGTATTTTAATTACATGAAATAAATGGGTCCTTAAATGTGGGAAATGATTGTGGCACTTCATCCTGAGGTTAACTTAAACATACTGAGAATACCTTAAAGAATGTTACATATCTTTTTCTCTCTACAATTCTTACAGAAATGTTTATTCGTGACCCCGAGATAAGGGGGAAGGTCCACACAGATTCCTGAGTTTATATTACTGGATGTGTGTAATTAGAATGGGTAGGTGCTAATCATCATGATTTACCATAGTTAAAATAGGCTGATCTATTTCTTCTACAAATACCGGAACACAGAAGTCTCAAAACAAGTAAGAATTCACAAAGAAGAAATAACATTTGAGATTTAATCCCAGAACTGATAAACAACAGACACAACACACATGCTCACTATCTTATAGAGGATATCTATAACCACTTGGGTGGCCATCATTTAAAATTATGACTTTAATAATTATTATAACAAGTTAACTTCCATTCTTATAAAGCTTATAGCTTATAGGACGCTTTCACAAAAATCTCATTTTATCTTTACTGAAACTCTGTGAGACAGAACTTTAAAATTTTTCTTTTAAGTAATAAAACAGCAGTTCAGAGAGATGAAGACATTTACCCAAGACAGTGGAATTAATGTAAGGGATAGAGCAGGATTAGAAGTGATACCACCTGACTCTAAATCCTGTGTTCTTTTCTACTATGCAAGAGGATTAGACCAGGTTTATTGGTTATCTTGAGTGATTATTTGGAGGTAAACACTAAACTAATTTTCTTTAGAAGAGTCTATTTCTTCCTCTTATTGACATGCAAAACAATTTTGGGGCTGAGTGTTCTCTCTGTCATTAGACGTCTGTTACTCTGTTCTCTCCTCTTCCTGATGCTACACCAGGGTAGAACCTTCTGTTCTTTGAGATTCACCATCTCATCCAACCCCTGCAGAGCCTCTGAGCGGTGAGCGGGGCAAGGTATTTGATTTTCACTTAACAGAGGAAAAAATTCAAACAGACACAAGGTAAAACAGCCGTCCCCAAGGTGCGCATTGATTAATGGGAGAATCAAGGCACTCATAGGTGCACACCTTATCTTGTTCTTAGAATTGCAGCTCAGTTCAAAGTCTTGCCATTGTTGTGGTTATTGAGTGAACTCTCTGTTCACAGACTTTCCCATCACAGTGGCCTGCACCATGATTCATCCCAAATTAAAAATTATCTTAGAAGGAAAGACCTGCAGATTTGGCCTCATTAAAAAAAAAATAATAATAATAACAAATTCCCTATGGCATAAGGGAGCCCAAGAAGTTGCTTAAGAAAAATATTTGTCATATTAAAAGTTAATAATCATGTGATAGAAAGATCTCCCAGGGATCAGTAGGAAAATGAGGAGTGGGGATTGCAGAGGCCATGCATTCAACAGGAGATGCAAATTCGCAAGGAACTAGAAAAAAATACTGCCCTCACTAATTCATTAATGATCCAACCTGAGCAGAACTAAGCCTGTGGCTATAACCCAATTCTGGCGCGGATAAGCACAATGGGCAACACTGGGGAGACTGGAACCCTTCCGGAGGAGCCACTTGGCAGTGTCTGTTAACATAAAATGCCATTTCTTCGGACCCAGCAATTTATCTAGCTCATGGATTCATTCTTTCCTTTAATTGAACTTTATTTTTGAGTGCTGTATGCCAAGATCGTATGAGGCGTTGGAGACACAGATATGAATAAAACAAAGTCCTTGCCTTCGTTTAGCCTCCTCCTCTTGAGACACTCAGTAAACAAGAAAATATGTGATATAATGTTAGATGGTAATGGGTGCTCTAGTTAAAACAAGCAGGCAAGAGAGAGAGGGAGGTATATGTAGAAGATGTAGATGGTGAACCCAGGGAGGACCTCTCTGAGGTCTTTGTGAGGATCAGTCATGTAATTTTCTGGGAGAAGAACTGTCCAAGCAGAGAGAAGAGTAACTGGAAAGGTCCCGAGAGAGGAATGCACTTGGTGTGTTTGAGCAGCAGTGTGGGCTGGTGGGGCTTGAGCCGAGGAATGCTGTCAGCATAAATACTTGGATAAGTGTGAAAATATATATTTATGAGGATTTCATTTGGTTGTAATTACAGGTTGTAAATGCCCATTAAGAGGAAAAGGGTTCAGTAAATTCCTGTGCATTCAGCAGTGGACCGTCATGTGGAGCTAGAACGGACTGGGGTAGATCAGTGAGCGTTAACAGAAAAATGCTCGAGATGCAGCGCCCATTGGGAAAGAGAAAGAAGTTACAAGATAACATCTATACAGTGGGGCATGCCCTATTAAAAATAAATGTATATAAGACAAAATTAAATATATATTTGTAAACCATAGAGATGCAAATTATGAACTTAATACTAACCTTAGGCCTTGGTTATAACTGAGAGAAACTGAATATTCCAATCTATTTAATTAAAAACAAAAAGAACATTAAGGGGAATGGACTTGTTAACATTAGTGTAGGCTGGAACGCAGTCACTCCTACTCTCTCTACCTCCGGGTGCCGCCTCTTTTTCCCCCTTTCCGGTGAATTTCTCCTTATTCCACTCATGCTCTTTGAAACTGTTCCAACACTTAAAGCGGAGTCAGCTTCCCTGTTTTTCAGCATTATCACCTGACATGGTGTTTTCGAGCCCATTTTCCCTGGCATGGTCTGGGTTCACAGTGCCTTCTTGCCGGAGTTCAAAATGGAGGGATGAATACTCAAGTGAACTAGAACACAGCTGCTGGGATGAGTCGTGAAGTTGGCGTTTAGGTAATGTGTCAACAGCAATCTGAATCAGGTACCAGCATGCCTGTTCCCATTCCACAGGTA